TCTGTTTGCCTCCTGGAGCACTCCTCTTTTTTGTCTCCCTGGAGAGCTTTGATTTGTCCTTCCAGACTTCACCTACACAAAAACACCGCCTCCGGGAAGTCCTCCCTGGGTACCCTGGCTGAGAGGATCAATCCCTTTGTGCCAGCCGTGTGTCTAATGCTCATTATTGAATGAATGAATGAGTCCCAGGAACACTCCTCCTTCGCCCCTTTCTCCTTTAAGCGCACCCTGAAGCATAACCAGAAGCTGTATGCCCTGCCCCCTCCTTCCTCCACCCAAAGGCCAGACCTTCCGCTTGGGCTCCGGCCCCCACTGTCTACGCTTCCCAAGGGCCTTATTCTCTAGCTGTCTTCTCTCCACCACCATCAACGCCTCCCTTCTTCAAAACAATGGCAGCCTCCTGGCCTCCCATCTCCTTTCATCTATGGCCCTATCTTTCTGGTCCTCTTCACAAACCAACTTCTTGGAAAGTGTCTACACCAGCTGTCTGTACTTCCTTACCTTTCATTCACTCTCCAACCCCTTCCAACCTGGCTTCCATTTCCCCAACTCAACCGAAGCGGCTTTTGTCAAGTCACTAGCACCCTCCCTGTTGCCAAGTCTGCTGAACACGTTTCTGTCTTCACCTTCCTCAGCCTCTCAGAAGCATTCAACCCAGTTGGCCGCAGCCCCCTTCTGGAATGCTCTGTTGTCTCGACCTCGTGAGAGCACGCCATGTTTTCCCCCCCCCCCCCCCCCCCCCCCCCCGGCTGTTCCCTCTCAATTTCCTTTGCTCGTCCCTCTTTCTCTCCCTAATCCCTCAAGGTTCTCAAGACTCGGTCTGGGTCTGCATGGCATCATTCCTATGACTGTAAATAGTGTGATAAACTTCTCCTTTGAACTCCAGGCGGATACATTAACTGGCTACTAGACCACTCCATGTGTGTGGTCAATAGGCATCTCAACCTACGGTGTCAGAAATGACACACGTGTGTCTTCCCAGTCTGTTCCACCCACAGTCTTCCTCAACCCAGGAAACGGCACCATCCACCTGGTTGCTCAAGTCAAAATACAAGGCATCTCTGAATTCTCCTTTTTTCCCCTTCATCTTCTACATTCAATCTGTCCAAAGTTCTGTTAATACCATCTCCAAAATATCCCTAACCTCACCTTTCCCCCCTGGTCCATATCACCATAATTTCTTGCAATAGCCTATTTCCTGCTAACTGCTTTTGTCCTGACTCCCCAAACCAATCTCACAAAGCAGCTGATGATTTTTTAAAAACAAGAAATGAATTCTGTTTCTCTTGGTTAAATTTCTCCAGTAACTTCCTGTCCCACTTAGAATAAAACCTAAGTGTCTTACTAGGTGTACCGGTTAATAATGCGGATTTTTTCAACAGATGGAGTTACAC